CTGCACTCCAGCCTGGGCGACAGAGCGAGACTCCGTCTCAAAAAAAAAAAAAAAAAGAACGAGACTCTGTCTCAAAAAAAGAAAAAACAAAATTCCAGGTGAGAATGCAGTGGCATGATCGTAGCTCACTGCAGCCTTAACCTCCCAGGCTCAGGCAATCCTTGTGCCTCAGCCTCCTGAGTTGCACCACACTCAGCTAATTTATCTTTTTGTAGAGACAGGGTCTCACAATGTTGCCCAGGCTGGTCTCGAACTCCTGAGCTCAAGCAGTCCTCCCACTTCAGCCTCCCAAAGCGTTGGGATTACAGGCCTGAGCCACCGCACCCAGCCTTAGTCTGTTTTCTGAATACTTGAAACTGAGTCATTTATAAAGAAAAGGAATATCTCATAATTCTGGAGGCTGGGAAGTCCAAGGTCGAGGGGCAGCCTCTGGTGAGGCCTTCTTGCTGATGGGGACTCTGCAGAGTCTGGAGGTGGCACAGGGCACCGCAGGATGGGGGCCGAGCGTGCTCACGTACTAGTTCAGGTCTCTCTTTCTCTTCTCGTGAAGCCACTGGTTCTCCTCCCATGATAACCCATTAATCCACTAACCCATGAAGCCATTACTCCATGAATGGATTAATCTCTTGAGGGCAAAGCCCTCATGATCCAAGCACCTCTTAAAGGCTCCCCTCTCAGTACTGCCACGCTGGAGATGAAATTTCAACGTGAGTTTTGGAGGGGGCACACAAACCATGGCAACCTTGAAACCATCTATAGGAGAGTTTCTAAAGGAGATACACCTCAAAATCAAAAAGTGCAAAAGACATGCAATATAAGACTCAGAGAGTTAAGACACCAGGAAAGCAGGAGATTGCACTTTTTTTTTTAATTAACAGCAGTTTGGAACCAAAATTCCAAATAAATTCTGTTGATTTCCTATTCTATTCCTTCAGGATGATGGTGAGGACAGGCTACATATCATAGCCCATACAGCATACTAAGAGAATCCAGGTCCAGGATCCCAGATTTCTGGAGATTTCTACCAAGCAGCAGTGCCCAAGATCAGCTGTGATGATGAGGATGTGCCATTGCATGGCACATGGCCCAGAGTCACCAGTTTATTACATATTGGTCATCTTCACTACCTGACTTCACACAAGTCAATCCAGGGTTTGCCTAGTTCCCTCCTGACGCCTTCTCTCTCCACAAGATCCGCTCCCTCCTACATTGACTGATCTGTTGGCCAGATGCAATGGCTCACACCTAGAATCTTTGCACTTTGGGAGGCCGAGGTGGGAGGATTGCTAGAGCTCAGGAATTCAAGACCAGCCTGGGTGACATGATGAAACCCCATCTCTATAAAAAATACAAAAGCTAGGGCCAGGTGCAGTGACTCACGCCTATAATATCAGCACTTTGGGAGGCTGAGACAGGCGGATCACCTGAGGTCAGAAGTTCGAGACCAGCCTGGCCAACATGCTGAAACCCTGTCTCTACTAAAAATACAAAAATTAGCCAGGCATGGTGGCGTGGGCCTGTAATCCCAGTTTCTCAGGCGGCTGAGGCAGAAGAATCGCTTGAACTTGGGAGGCAGAGGTTGCAGTGAGGCGAGACTGCACTACTGCACTCGAGCCTGGGCAACAGAGTAAGACTCCATCTCAAAAAACAAACAAACAAACAAACAATAACAAAAAAAAATACCACCAAAAACTAGCTGGGCATGGTGGTGTGCACCTGTAGTCCCAGCTATTCAGGAGGCTGAGGTGGAAGGATCACTCAAACCCGGAGCCAGAGGTTGCAGTGAGTCAAGACCACACCACTACACACCAGCCTGGGTGACAGAGCCAGACCCTGTCTCTAAATAAATAAATAACCTGGCTGGGCATGGTGGCTCAAGCCTGTAATCCCAGCACTTTGGGAGGCCGAGACGGGCGGATCACGAGGTCAGGAGATCGAGACCATCCTGGCTAACACAGTGAAACCCCGTCTCTACTAAAAAATACAAAAAAAAACTAGCCGGGCGAGGTGGCGGGCGCCTGTAGTCCCAGCTACTCCGGAGGCTGAGGCAGGAGAATGGCGTAAACCCGGGAGGCGGAGCTTGCAGTGAGCTGAGATCCGGCCACTGCACTCCAGCGCGAGCGACAGACCAAGACTCCATCTCAAAAAAAAAAAATAAATAAATAAATAAATAAATAAATAAATAACCTGAGATGTTTCTCCTCAATTTGCTAACTGAACCATTTAATGCTTCCACAGACTAGATTCTCCCTCTGATCACAACTTCCCACTTGTATGAGTGAAGACTTAGGTTTGGCTATGAGCAAAAGAAAACCTGAAACAGTGCACACACAGTGGCTGATTTCGCTCCCGTGGAAATGCTGTCCCCAATGCGAGTGGGCCCAGTGACAGTGGAGCTCCACTCCCCAGATGGCTGTGTGCCCAGCAGCCTGCTGCCTGCGGGTTCATTCACAAGGGTCTGTGAAAATAAGTAATTCAGAATCCATGTTGTCAGAACTTTAAATTACTTTGAGCCTTAAAGTAAGGGAGGAGACCACCCCTCATATCGTCTTATGCCCAATTTCTGTCTCCAAAGAAAGAAGTAAAAACTAAAAGGCACAGCTGGGCGCGGTGGCTCACGCCTGTAATCCCAGCACTTTGGGAGGCCGAGGTGGGCGGATCATCTGAGGTCGGAAGTTCGAGAGCAGCCTGACCAACATGGAGAAACCCCATCTCTACTAAAAATACAAAAATTATCTGGGCATGGTGGCGCACACCTGTAGTCCCAGCTACTCAGGAGGCTGAGGCAGGAGAATCGCTTGAACCCAGGAGGCGGAGGCTGCAGTGAGCCAAGATTGTGCCACTGCACTCCAGCCTGGGCAACAGTTTAAGACTCTGTCTCAAAAATAAATAAATAAATAAGACACATCCAGGAGTGCTTAGAGCAGCATCATGTTGCAGAGCAAGAGCCCTAAACCACCTCCAGTCAGTAGCAGAATGGAGAAACTGGAGTCTGTTCATACCTCACAGCGAGAAACACCCTTCTTGAGCCACATCAAAGACTCACCAACAACGCCGAATTGCAAAAGCTGAGGAATACGTCCACACACCTCTTACAGCCTTCAGAAATTCAAAATACAAGGGATGTAGAGATACATATCGCTGTGGTAAAAATTTTAAGAAAGACATAAAAAGTCAGATTCTGCAGCAACCACCTTCGGCAGGAGACAAAGGGATCCAAGTGTGTCAGTGATACTCTCTTTCTCACGTCGCATGGCAGGTCCGTAGCCACACATTCACGTTTAACTTTTGTATGATGAAATACCTCCAAGTTTTAAACACACATGGCAAAAACACAGATTATGGCATCACGGTCCTGCGGGTGTGAAATGCAGATATAAGAATATACATGGATCATTCTAGGGAAGTACCCCTAGGTATGAATTTTGAAACAATCAACTTTTCTTGGGTACAAGGCTACGTTCCAATGGAAAGGGGTGCCCACCGTGACAGCCAAGTAGAGACCAGCATGATCACTTTTAACACCTGCTGCCACAGCATGAGGCCCAACTCCGTCTCGTGCTCAAGCTTGGGTAGTTGTTAAAACCACTGCTGGGGCTTTTGAAACTGCCCTTGTCCCGGCTCCACCTGACTTACTCAGCCAGAACTGGAGAACAAGGCAGGCTCTTTTCAGTTCTCCAGGGAACTTCGCAGCCAAGGTTGAGAAACATCCAGTATAGGACACTAATTTGCCTAATAATTCAGGAACTCAGTGAAGACCAAGTTAGAGTCAAAAGTTAGAGATCAAGTCTGGCGAGTGTGGTGCTGATGGTGTGACTGCAGCAGCCGTGGAGAGCTCCAGGCTCTCGGCCTCGGCCCTAGACACCTGGCCTAAAAGCCCTCCGGCACCTGACGGGTGAGCCTTGCGGATGACACGAGTTAATGTGCCTCAGTCGCTCCGAAGCAGGGCCTACCATAAACACGATCTGCCACCTTTTCAAGGAAAGGAACTGTTTTGGGAAAAGTGTTAATTAAATACTTCAATAAGGAGGATCATGATTACTCTTCAGGCTTCATGAACAGGCTCCCAAACCTGTGAAGGAAGCACAAACTCGAACCTCTCAGTCACTGTGTGGAATCTCTCATCTAACCTGCTGAAGGAGGAAACACAGAGGACACGAGAGGCGGGTGACAGTGACCAGTGAACTCTGGAGAATGAGGGACAGAGGGTGAAATGCTGACTCTCACTTGTGTCCCTCTATATTTTTTGCAATAAGAATCTATTTGATAGTGTTAATTACCAAAAGCCTGGCTACTGCAGGGAGGGCGGGCTAGCTTTTGCTTTTAAGGTGGTAGATTCAAAAGCAACTGAACAGTGAGTGGGAAGGGGACGAGGAAGACAAGATCATCGGCTCAGCAAGGTCCCCAAGGAGGGCTAGAGTCGGGATCAGAGCCAGATGGGTGACTTAGGACGGGACAGGACGTGCTGCTCCACAGTGCGAGAGCTGGCTGGCAGCAGAGGCCACAGCTGGGGGCGATGACTATGGAAGCTGCGGGGGACGGTGCCATGCCTTCAGCAGCTGCCTTTCCTCCACTCCCCGTTACCATCTTTGTCCCCCGAGGTGTCCCAGATGGACTGCCACAACCACCCCACCCTCCTCCTGCCCCCACCAGCCCCTTGCACATCATCCCAGAGCCCGCCGGAGTTCCCCATCAATGCACCCGCCTGCCCAGCCAAGCCTCCACATGGTGACCCGTGCCACCCATCCTTTCACCCAGAGGCCCAGAGCATGTGGGTGACAGCACAGGGCCCCATCCCCAAAGCATCACTTGCCAGGTGACACTGGGCAAGTTGTCCTTGACCTCTGAGAGCTGTGTCCCCAGCTGGGAAACAGGGCAACCCATCCAGCCTCCTGGGACTGTGCAGGCCAGAGCAGACGAACTGAAAGCTCTACAGCCCTAGTGGGCTGGAAGTCATTAGAAAAGAAAGCAAAGCAAGCCCCTCAGGACAGTCACACGGCTGAGGTTGGGTATTTCACTTTATTTAGCAAACGGTCACCCTCGGCCCCACCACACCACCCTGCGGCCTCGCTTGAGCATCTGTCTCAGGAAGCAGCTCAGGGTGAACAGGAAGGCCTGGGTTTCCCAGTTCAGGCCTCATCTGCCGCCACACATGCCACACGCCACAAAACAAAATCACTTCCCCACGTCCTCAGGAGCCCACCCCAGTGTGGTCCGGGGGACCCTCCAGTGTTCAACAGCTGCCTGCAGGGGCTGCAGCCCAGCTCTAGGCACAGACTCCTGCACTGAGACGCCAGCCCCAGGAGAGCCTCCGTCTCCAGCTGTAGGGGTGCCAGACCCTGAGCCTCGGCTCTGCCACCTGTCCCTGCTGGGCAAGAAGCAAAATGTATGAAAATACTTTAATCATTTATTTGAAACGGTTAAGAAATAAGGTCATCTTGTTCTTCTATAATCCCAGTAAAAAAAAAAGTTCACATTGGCTCCTGGGCCCAGGCGCAGGCCCCGCTGGTGGTGCCGCTCAGTAGAAGCGCTTGTTCCGCTCCTGCCGCTTCTGGAACACCACGGCGCCCACCACGGCGCAGACGACAATGCCCAGGAGGGCGCACAGCAGCAGCAGGAACACCCGCCACCCTGTCAGGGGCCCGCTGCGGAAGTTCCCCGTGGGGTCATCCACGTTGTCTGGGGGAGAAGAAACAGCAGCTGAAACGGCAGCGCGGGCTGGGGAACAAGGGGCTGCAGGACGGCAGTGGGGATGGAACAGGACAGCAGGCCACGGTGCACAGGCCAGTCGCACTCACTCCCCTCACCGGGGAGGGGCAGAGGTCAGGTGAAGCCCATCCCAGCCAGCTCTGCAGTCCCCAGGGCAGGGCAGGGCAGAGAGAGGACCAAGCCCCAGGGACCCGGGACCCCAGCGGCTCAGGCCTGGGCTGCCTTCTGCTGCAGGAAGCCGGTTAAAACCAGAGTCCTGGGTTCCTCCAAGCCCAACTCTGGATAAGGGGAGGCCCAGGAGGCTGCCCCAGCCCACAGCTGGATACTCTCGGCAGCCCCCACGGAGGGTCTCCCAGGACCTGAGTCCCACACTCCACCCCAGCCCACAGCCTCTCTCCTCCACACAGGGTCCTCACGGGTCCTGCCCATCCTGGGATGGGGCCCTCTGGTGTGCTCCCTTGTCCAAGCTGAGAGAAGACACTGACTCTCCCAAGCTCTCCAGGCTGTGTGCAGAGGAGCTGGGGTCTGGCTGGGCCATTTCTGCCACTCTGCCTCCCTCCCTGACTGCGGCCCCCGACTCCACACTGTGCAGTCTCCTCAGGCATCCCCACACCCAGGCCTCGGGCCCGGGCCCTGCCTTTCAGCAGTGCACATGCCGCCCTCTTGCCAGCCACAAGCCAACCCCATCCTCCCTTCCTGCACAAGCCGCCACCAGCAGGCCTACCGGCCACCCTCACCCCACCTCTGCTCTACACACCCACAGCAGCAGTCACTGACTGAACCAGCCACTCTCACCCCCACCTCTGCTCTACACACCCACAGCAGCAGTCACTGACTGAACCGGGAGGTCCCTAGGGATGGCGCTTCCCCAGAAAGCCACTCGGCCTCGGGGCTCCCGCAGCTCCCTCTGTCTCCTTGTCTGCCTCAGCCCCTAGAATGAGCCCCAGGGGCAGGGCCTGCCTGACCTCCGTGTCTCCAGCACCCAGCCCATAGCTAGGCACAGAGGGCAGCTTTGATCACATCCGAAGGAACAAATGGATTGAATCTAAAAGTGAGTCCATCCTGCCTTGCCAGCTGCCTGGGATGCTGGGTGGACAAGGCAGGTGCCTCCTCAGAAAGCAGCCAGCGGCTGGCAGCCCTCTGACCAAAGGCTGCAGCAAGGTTTTTGTGGCCCCCGAAACGTTTCAAAATAACCTGAATCTTTAAAAAGTGAATTGTTGGCTGCACACGGTGGCTCACGCCTGTAATCCCAGCACTTTGGGAGGCCAAGATGGGAGGAACACAAGGTCAGGAGATTGAGACCATCCTGGCTAACACGGTGAAACCCCGTCTCTACTAAAAATACAAAAAAATTAGCCAGGCATGGTGGCGCGCACCTGTAGTCCCAGCTACTCAGGAGGCTGAGGCAGGAGAATGGTGTGAACCCGGGAGGCGGAGCTTGCAGTGAGCCAAGATTGCACCACTGCACTCCAGCCTGGGCGACAGAGCGAGACTCTGTCCCCTCCCAAAAAAAAAAAAAAAAAGTGATTTGTCACATAAAACACTGGATCCTGGCTTCTCCTGAAAAGCAGAAAGATGCAGCCAAACTGGGACCCAGGGCTGGGCTAGGACAGAGCCCACGCTGCGCACACTTGTGTCACTGGCTGGACCCCCAGGCACGCATCTGTGGTTCTTAGGGTGGACTTCTCCACACACAGGTGCCTCATTCCAACCACAATGTTCACTCTGTGAGGAAAGGGGTAGCTAATTAGTGCCATGGGAAGAACCCAGGCTTCGGATTTTGTAGAAACCCAATTTCCAATCCTGCCTTCTCCCTCCTTCTAGCTAAGGAATCCATCCCTTGGCCAGCAGCACGACCTCCTTCCAGGCGGCTCACAGAAGGGACAGGGGGGCCAACATAGCCAGCCCCCTGGCTCTGCTGGCCACCGCCCCAGCGCCTAGGGAGGGAGGACGCCGGCTCACCACTCACACATTTGCTGGTCAGCCACTGCTTGCTGCCACGGCACTCACGTGGCTATGATATCCTCAGGGACTGACTCTGCAGAGTTCTCTTCCACCTCATTCATTTACTCAAAAACTTGCCAGAGCTGACATAATCCAAGGCCAATCCTCTAGGAGCTCAGACAGGGCCAGCCAGTGCCGCTTGCCAGGACAGGGTTGATTCAAGAGCCCAAACCACAATCACCACAACCACGACTGGACCACAAGATTGCCAGGCTGGCTTCACCCCATTCCAGGTCAGGCCGCCCAGGCCCAGGCGGGGCGGGGCTGTACACACGCACCTTTGGGCGACTTGAGGAAGTTGACGCTGGGCTCAATCTTGGTCCAGTCGATGCTCTCCTCGTCGGGCGTGTGCTCCACCATCAGCTGGAACAGCTTCATGGAGATGATGTCATGATTGTCTGTAGGACAAGAATAAACCTGTGACAGCCTGGAGGCCAGCCTCAGGGCATGTGGCCCAAGCCCCTCCCCTAAGGGAAGCTGCTGCCACAACCAGTAAACCTGCCAGGCCCCCGGGGAGAGGGCTGCCCTGCCCATCTAGGGCCTGTTTTCTTCCCAGCTCCCTCCAGTCCCCAGCAATAAAAAACTGAGAGGAGGCAGAGTGAAGAGAAAACAGTAAGGGCTTTACAAGCAGAATCGTCTGGGTCTAAATCCTGGGGTCTGATGCCCTCTTTGAGGCTCAGTTTCCTCATGTGTAAAGGAGTGATGATCTCCATCTGTGTGGTTGCCATGGCAAGTACGAGACTACACCACACAGAAGATGGCTTGCCTACAGAGTACGTGCTCAAAAACAGACCCAGGAAGGACCAGCAGTCACTGTGTGACTGGCTGAGAAGCCTGAGCCTCCCAAGGGCAGGAGCCCCCAGACATTCTTGTCACAGAGACCCACATACAGGCTGCAGGGAAACAACTCAGCAACCAGCTAAGGGCCTGAGCCTAACGGAGGCCAGTGGCTGTGCCTGAGGAGACTGGGGAAAGGTTCTGTCCAATGGCATGGGCAGGAAAGAGCTCGGGCTTGACACTGACGGATCACTCCATTGTGGAGACAAGGAAGCTGAGGCTCAAAGTCAACACGTGGGTCCTGGTCAGCCTGGGACTGGAATCTGAGGAAAGGCCTTGTTTAACGGAGCACGAATCTCTGGAGCCAAGGGAGGACCTACTGAGCAAGAGCTCGGCCAGGTGCGCAGTGTGACAGCTGAACATGCACAGCCCTCAGAGACAGCGAATGGCCCTGTAGGACAAGGACCGGCCCTGGAGTCAGGCCCTGGAGTCAGGCCCTGGAGTCAGGCCCCAGTTCCCGTCTGGGCTCTGCTGCTTCCTGCTCGTATCTCAGGAAAAATCCCTTCAGTTCTCAAACTCCCAATGGTTGAGTAAAAAGGGAGCGAGACAGCTATCTGCCTAAAAATATATCAGGTGACATCACCCGTAAGGTGCCTGGCACTGATGACCCCTGACCAGAGGTCAGACATGGCTCCCCTCAGGGCGCCTCTTCCACTCTGTGCTGGGCTCTCCCAACAGCTGTGAGAGCTGCCACAGGCCACAGCCCTGGTGCTGCTCTGCTCCTATCGAGAACCCTCTGAAGACAAGTGCTGAAACAGTCTGACGAAGTTCCAGGCAACCGTGGGAGGAGGAGAACCAGCCAGGCACGAGCTGGAAATTATGAAAGACAGGAGGGGTGCTTACTAGACCTTTCTCTCCTCTGCTGGGCGTATGACTGAAAAACCCCCAAACAGTGGATGTTCTGGGGTCTGAGTGGACCTAAGCACTTCTCTGCTGAGAGGGAGGCTCCTGGGCAGTGAGCAGACTACAGGCCCTGGAATGGGTCATCCTGAGCATAAACCACCCATGTCAGGTTCCCCGTGTCAGGTGCCAGTTCTGGTCAGGAGCTGGCCCTGGGCCTGGCACTTGCTCAGGGACCCAAAGAGAGACCGAGAACCACAGCCAAGGCCACCATGGCCTGGTGACCAGTGAGGCCTGAGCAGGTTAGAGGCACCCCAGTGCTCACCAAGCACCTGCCCTGGGGCAAACAAGAGCCATTTATAGAGCTTACAATTGAGCAGGAGGGCCAGAGACAACAGCATTCATTACTCGGTAGATTCAAAGATGGTAAATACGATGAAGAAAAATAAAGCCGGCAAAGGTGATGGGGAGTGGGTTGGGGACTACAGGAGGGGGCGCAACGTTCCACAAGGGAATCAGGGAAGGCCGCGCTAAGGAGGTGGCATCTGAGCAAGGCCCTCGGAGACAAGGGTGAAACAGCTGGGGCAGGAGGGCACAGGCGCATCCAGGGAGCAGCTGGAAGCCACAGTAGGCAGGGGGAGCAGTGAGCGAGGAGCCAGAGGTGGCAGGGCTGGCACAGAGGCCCTGGCCCTGGTGCCCCCTGCAGGGCTCTGACCAGAGCAGCAGGAGGCCTCGCACCGGCTTAAGGCAATTACTTAGCTGCTGTGCTCAGGGGAGACTGTTGGGGGCTGGTGAAGGAGGGAATCACTTGGGAGGCTCCAGTGAGAGATACTGGTGGCCTGAAGCCTCCAGGTAGTCAGGGAGGGGTGGAAAGCGGTGGGACATGCTGTGAAAATAAAGCCACAGGGACTGTTGATGGACCAGAGGTGCCATGTGAGAGAAAAAAGGGTCCGGAAAGACAGCAAGCAAATAGAGGAGCAGAGGTGCCACCGACATCCCGATGGGCAAGACGTGGCCTCAGCTCTGGGCACAAGGGCTGAGCAGGTCTGGAGCGGTCTGAGCTGGAGATAAATCTGGGAATCTACGTCACCCAAATCTAATTGACCCATTGCCTCCTGTTGACGGGGAAGGTTGCCAAGGGACTGTTCAAGGACTGAGGCCGGGACAGGCCATTTACAGACGAAAGGAAGAGGAGGAACCACAGTCAGCTGAGTCCAGAAACCACACGAAGGCAGGCAATCAACTGCACGGAAAGCTCCCAGTCCCTCAGGGTGAGTCGGCCTGGGAACCAGTGCCTGGCCCGGCCTACTCACCAGACAGGTCGCCGGTGCCGGCGGAGGCCCCGAAGTAGTAGCCGGTGGGCAGGCGCACTCCCGTGATGTCAATGCAGTTCTTCCACTCGTTCTTGTCCTCCAGGTCGGTCATCACCTGTGGGGCCCAGCACACTAAGCACCTCGCAGGACAGCAGCCTGCCCTCCTGAGCCTCTGTGGGATCGGCACAGGCCCATCAGCTGCCGTCCCCACCGCCCAGCCGGCTCACCGTCAGACGGCCCCGGGAGTAGCGCACAGCCAGGAAGGTGTCGTGATCGCGGTTGCGGAAGTCAGCCGTGCAGCCCGCCAGCTCGGTCCAGCGCCCATCCTTGCTGTGGTCGTAGGACAGGGAGCCATTGTTCACCATCACCGAGATGTACGGGAACACGCGCTGGGACCAAGACACCGGTTACTCCACAAGCAGCCCAGCCTGTGGGGCGAGCAGGGGCACCCGCCACCCCAATCCCTGGAGGCTCCTCTCGTGCCGGGACCACGGAAGTCCCAGGACCCCCTCCTCTAGCCAACTGCCCAGTCCTTCCTCTCCTGCTCAGCAGGAGAGAGCGGGGCCTACCTCGGTGGTCTCATCATTGGGGTAGGTGTCCAGGAAGATGGCTAAGCCGTGGAAGTTATCTTTGCTTCCAAACACAGGCCCTAGAATTACAAGGAGATGCTCTCACAATGGGAGAAACGGGAGCTGTCCCATGGGTACCAGAAAGGCAGACAATGCCAACGTGGGTGGCGGCAAGAGAGCCCAACTCAATGGCCATTCACCGAGAGAGAAGGGATGGTGAAAGGAGAAAGCTGAGGCTTTCTCCCCAGAAGCGGGGAGTCTAGGCGTGTGACACAGAGGACTCAAGTCTGAAGGCTGAACTGTGAGGGGACTGAGGGAGGTGTCAAGGGGGTGCCTGGCTTACAAAACACAGTGAGCCACAGGAGACAGCCCTACTCCGGAGGCTCTATCCTCTACACCGGGGCAGCAAACACTCTGTGGAGGGCCACTGAGGTAACACCTCCGGGTCTGTGGGCCACCTGCAGTCACAGCCACACAGTCTTCATGTTCGGCACAGTAACTGTTTCAAATGGTAAACCCAGGCCAACGAGGGTGTAGGGCTGAGCTGCAGGGCCCAGCTGCTCCTCTCCCCTCAGCAGCCTTCCTTCCAGAGTCAGGCTCCTTCCAGAGGCACAGGACTTTATCCACGGGAGCAGCACTTTCCTAACGGGAGACACGCTGGGCCCCACGAGCCACAGGCAGCCCCACGCCACCTCCCTGGGGGGCCAGCAGCCATGCCCGTGCCCACCCCCGGCCTGGGGCCCCACAGGGCCCACCTGACACGAGGCGGTCCCGGGTGTACCACAAGGCGATGCCGTCTCCATGGAGGTTCTTCTTCCCTGTGCCGTGGACTTTGAAGTGGACGTGCATTTCCCAGTCCTTGAGGAAGCAGGGCTGGAGGGAGAGCAGAACGGGCTGCTCAGAGCTCCCCGGGGCCTTCTAGCAAGCTGGAGGCAACCCCGGCACAGCCCCTGCCCCACAGACCTCTCTTCCCTCCCCAGCGAAGACTGAGCACTCCTTGGCACAGGTCCACAAGTGCTACTGACCACAGACCCCTAAATGTTCTCAGCGTGAAGGTAAGAGACTGCTGGGCACCAGGTGAGGTGGGGGAGGCCACAGTGTCCCAAGGCTGCCTGAGGCCCAGACCCCACCCGCAGGCCCCAGGCTGCTCCTGAGCAGGTGGCCGCCACACAGTTCACCCTCGTTACCAGCCAAACTCACCAGCCATTGCCTCTCCATCCCTGCTGCTCTTGCCCTGGAACCTTGTACAGAGGTTACTACTCCTATTTGAGCGACATATTTTACAGGAAAACAAATTCAGAGGTGTAACAACTTGTCCACAGCAGCTCAGTGGACTGTCTGATTCACGCCCAGGGCTTTCTGACTCCGAGAGCTCTGCTCTGCCTTCGGTACTTCCCCGGGCCTGCAGGCCTTTCACATAAATTGCACCAGCCCCTTTCTGGCCACCCACACCTGCTGCCTACCCTGCTAACCAGCCTTCCCAAGTGAGGAAAATCAGGCCAGGTCAGTGCTGCTGGGCCTCTAGCCCAGGTCTGGCTGACTCCAAAACCCAGCCCACCACCAGTTCACCTCCCTAGCCCAGCCTAAGTGTGGTACCAGCGCTGGGGATGAGAGCTGGTCAGGGTCGTGCTCTGGGGCTCAAGGGCAGCACCGTGTGAGCTGGGGCAGGGATGGTCGCTGCCTATGGCAAGGGAGAAAGCCTGGCCTTCCCCATCAGGAAGTCGTTTGTGAAAACTAAGGTGTCAACACATACGGTGACAAGTATCCACTTTCAGGAAATCTGCAGATGGGTATGTAAGCAAGTGATTAAACAAACACCCATCAGAAAGGCAAACCCAAACAAGATGCTGACCTGTCAGATGGGCAACTGTGAAAAAGACCATTAATGTCCAATGCAGATGAGGATGAAGAGAAATGAACACAGGAGTAAAGGAACATGAAGCAGTATTAATGATGGGTAATTCTGGGAGGGGGATTATGGCGACTGTTTACCATGTTTGAATAACATACAATAAACACATTACTTCTGTGATCACAAAAAAATAAAAAATAAAAACACACTGTATCCCGATGCAATATGGTTCATTCATTCACTGATGCCAGACTCACTGCTCCCACTCTGGGCACCAGGAACCCAGATAACAAAACCTAGGCCAAGTCCCCGAGAGCACAAAAGAATGGAAGATACAGAATTGTGGGTAAGAGATGGAGGAAACAGTGAGAGAGACTAAGACTCATATAATTGGGATTCCTAAGTAAGATGTAAGAGATTAGGGCAAAGAAATATTTAAAGATATCTAAGCACTTACTAAAGCTGATTCAAAGACCTGCCACAAACTTTAAAAGTCCTACACACCAAAGGAGATGACTAAAAAGAAAACCATAGTTAGGCACAAAAAAAGAAGGGAGGGATAGAGGAAACAAACAAACAATAAAAACAGATAGTTTTTTAACATGAAAGTATTTTTTTCTAATTTCTTTCCCCATGGCACAGCCCCAGGCAATCCTGAGAACTTGTGCCACAAAAGCATTTTTTCTTTCTTTTCAATTTCAACTTTTATTTTAGATACAGGGGCTCCATGTGCAGGCTCCATGGGTATAATACACCCAGGCAGAGAGAACATTACCCAGTAGGTAGTTTTTCAAATCACGTCCTCCCCCATCTAGTTAGTCTGGAGTGTCTATTGTTCCCCTTAAAAACAGATCATCTTGGCCGGGTGCAGTGGCTCACGCCTATAATCCCAGCACTTTGGGAGGCCAAAGCAGGTGGATCACTTGAGGTCGAGACCAGCATGGCCAACATGGTGAAACCCCGTCTCTTACTAAAAATACAAAAATTAGCCAGGCGTGGTGGTGCGTGCCTGTAATCCCAGCTACTTGGGAGGCTGAGGTGGGAGAACTGCTTGAACCTGGGAGGTGGAGGATGCAGTGAGCCGAGATTGTGCCACTGCACCCCACCATAAAAAAATAATAATAATCTTAAAGAAAAAGCAACCAGAGGGAAAAAAGAGATGACCTCAAAGGAGCAATAATAAGCCTGATACCTGGCCTCACAACGGAAACAGTGGGAGCAAGAAGGCAGATGAATGATATGTTTGGAGATACAGGAAGGTAACAGCCAGCATGGGATTCTATACTCAGCAAATGCATCCTTCAAGAATTAAGGTAAAATTAAGATAGTTTGAGGCCAGGCGCGGTGGCTCACGCCTGTAATCCCAGCATTTTGGGAGGCCGAGGCGGGTGGATCACAAGGTCAGGAGATCGAGACCATCCTGGCTAACATGGTGAAACCCCATCTCTACTAAAAATTACAACAAAAATTAGCTGGGCGTGGTGTTGGGTGCCTGTAGTCCCAGCTACTTGGGAGGCTGAGGCAGGAGACTGGCGTGAACCTGAGCGGTGGAGCTTGTAGTGAGCCAAGATCGCACCCCTGCACTCCAGCCTGGGTGACAGAGCAAGACTCCGTCTCAAAAAAAAAAGATATTTTGAGACAAACAAACAAAAACCAAAAGAATTCATTAGCAGACTCATGCTTTCATTCTTCAGGGAGAAAGAAAATGATCCCCCTCCAGATGTAAAGTCAGATTCCAGAAGGAATGAAGAACAACAAATACAGTGACTATAAGGGTAAAAATCTAAATATCTGACTACATAAAACAATGGGTTGTGTGATATAAAACAGAAATAATTAAAATAAATGACAACAATAAATGGAGTTGAAGTGTGTTAGGATCCTTGCACTGTCCAGGAAGAAGGTAAAGTATATACTATCATTAGATTTTGGTAAAACACGAATGCCTACTATAAATTCTAGGGTGACCACTTAAAATTGAGAAAAGAGCATATAACTTTCAAGCTAATAGAAGAGGAAAAATAGGATAATAAAAATTAACCTAAAAGTAGAGAGAAAAATGAACAGAGAATAGGCACTTTGAAAATAAAGAGTAAGATAGCAGATTAAACCCAAATGTATCACTATTTCATTAAATGTAAATGGACTAAATGCTAAATAAAAAAACAAAACCTAAGGGCACCTACGATCTCTGTATTATTTCCTATAACTGCATGTGAACTTATAATTATATCAAAATAGAGAGTTTAATTTGAAAAGTAAAGAGGCCAGGTGCAGTGGCTCATACCTATAGTCCCAGCACCTTGGGAGGCCATCATGGGAGGCTTGCTGAGCCAAGGAGTTCAAGACCAGCCTGGGCAACATAGCAAGACCCCATCTCTATAAAAAATAATAAGTATATAAAGGATCAGAGATCTAAACTTAAGAGCTAAAACCTGGGCAGTTGCGGTGGCTCACACCTGTAATCTGAAACACTTTGGGAGGCTGAGGCAGGTGGATCACCACAGCTCAGAAGTTCAAGACTAGCCCAGGTAACATGGTGAAAACTCATCTCTACAAAATAACACGAAAATCAGCTGGGCCTGACTGCACATGCCTGTAGTCCCAGTTACTTGTGGGGCTGAGGCAGGAGGATCACTTGAGCTGGAGAGGTCAAGGCTGCAGCTTTGAGCCGTGTTCATGCCACGGCACTCCAGCCTGGGCAACAAAATGAGACCTTGCCTCAAAAAACAATAAACAAACAAAAAAACCCGTCAAAACTCTTAGAAGAAAATCTAGGGAAAAATGTTCATGACACTGGATTTAGTAATGATTTCTAGGATATAGCACCAAAAGCATAGACCAAAAAAAAAAAAAAAAAGATAAATTGGACTTCACCAAAACTAAAAACTTTTGTACAACAAAGAACATGACCAAAAGAGTGAAGAGACAACCCACAGAATGGGAGAAAATATTTGCAAATCACACATCTGATAAGGGATTAATATCTAGAATATATAAAGAAACCCTAGGCCAGGCACGGTGGCTCACGCCTGTAATCCCAACACTTTGGGAGGCCGAGGCGGGTGGATCATGAGGCCAGGAGATCGAGACCGTCCTGGCTAACACGGTGAAACCCTGTCTCTACTAAAAAAAAAAAAAAGTTATCTGGGCATGGTGACGGGCGCCTCATAGTCCCAGCTACTTGGGAGGCTGAGGCAGGAGAATGGCGTGAACCCAGGAGGCGGAGCTTGCAGTGAGCCGAGATCCGGCCACTGCACTGCAGCGTGGGCAACAGAGCAAGACTCTGTCTCAAAAAAAAAAAAAAAAAAAAAAGAAACCCTAGGCCGGGCGCGGTGGCTTAAGCCTGTAATCCCAGCACTTTGGGAGGCCGAGACGGGTGGATCACGAGGTCAGGAGATCGAGACCATCCTGGCTAATACGGCGAAACCCCGTCTCTACTAAAAATACAAAAAACTAGCTGGGTGAGTTGGCGGGCGCCTGTAATCCCAGCTACTCGGGAGGCTGAGGCAGGAGAATGGCGTAAACCCGGGAGGCGGAGCTTGCAGTGAGCTGAGATCCGGCCACTGCACTCCAGCCTGGGCAGCAGAGCGAGACTCCATCTCAAAAAAAAAAAAAAAGAAAAGAAAAGAAACCCTAAAAAACTGACCAAAAAAATCCAACTCAAAAACACATAATAGACATGAATAGACATTTCTCCAGAGAAGACATACAAATGGTCACTAAGTATAACAAAATGCTCAACATCATTAGCCATTAGGGAAATGCAAATAAAAACCATAATGAGATGCCACTTCACAACCATTGGAATGGTTATTTTTAAAAAATTATTATTATTATTTTTTGAGACAAAGTCTCACTCTGTCACCCAAGCTGGAGTGCAATGGCATGATCTCAGCTCACTGCAACCTCCGCCTCCTGGGCTCAAGCAATTCTCCTGGCTCAGCTTCCCGAGTAGCTGGGATTACAGGCGTGCGCCACAATGCCCAGCCAATTTTTTTGTATTTTAGTAGAGACTAGG